TTTTCAACAAGAAAGAGCTACGAATTATACAACTAGAGTGAGCATGGAAATTCTAAATGATTTGTTTCCGAATTGTATAATTTCTAAAATGAGGATATTCCTTGATCACTCTGATTTGTGATTTGTTAGTAATAACGTGATTTGTTAGTCTATGATTATTTTTTTGAGAGGGTATATATTAGGAAAAAGGTATTTCAAAAAAACACTGAGGACAATTGAATCGGTAATTTTGAAAAGTCCATATCTCCATAAAATGAAAATTGTCAGGAAACGTAAAAAACTGTTTTTAGAGATTAGAATTAAATTAAGATAAAAATTGAAAAACGGTTGAATTATAATTAATTATAATTTAATTCCATTATAAAAAACCAACTATGATATGGCGGTCTCTCAGGAAATATGCATTATTATTAGTTAAACACATCCATAATATGTATATCAATAGTTTTAAAAAATGTGTGGAGAAATGACCTTTTCGAAATGACCGATTCAATTGATGATCTCAAACAAAGAATACAAGAAGAGGTCATAGAAATCTTTCGATAAATGTTACGAAATGTCATGTCCAGTTTAAGAAAACGCACAGACGAATCCTTGCTTTGTAATAGACGCTATCTTGTGGACATCATGTGTAACAATTAAATACGAAATAAACACTTTTTATACGCTTTTTTATATACTTCAGGATGGTATGAACAAATGTATTAAAACAATCTTAATAACTCTTATTTAATTTTTGGTTATTTAAAAATTTCCCGATTCACCTACCCTATATCTATAATAAAAATAATAAAAAAACCTTGAACAAAAAAGTGTACGTTCAATGCCGAAGTAAATTTTGTAGAAAAATATTGCATGAAATATCACATAGCCGAATACTAGACGACGTAAAAATTCTCAATGAAACTGAAAATTGATTGCGATATACATAAAATAAATGCTAGGTAAATATGAATGTCGAAGATATTGTAAAAAAAAACCTGGGAAAAGAAAAATTAAAGACTCCAGGAAAAAAATTCAACAGATCTGTTGAATGATATGAAAAAAAAATCTACACAGATTTTAAAAGTTAAACGTGAAAAACAATCTTTCCGCTCATATATTTAATATTTATAATACGATTTAATTCATTTTTCTAATTGATGAAATGTTATGATATATTTGTTTGCAGTTTCTGGCATTGTTTTACTGTTGTTAAAAAAAAATACCTAAACTTTTTAGGGAGCATTTATATGACTAGTTAAACTAACATGTAGTGATTATTCAAATTTATTCATTTTTTCAAAAGTATAATATATTCCACGTTAGTTCCCAATAACATTTTCAATATTTTCGGAAACTTGATCATAACATTTGATTTATTTTTAGATATATTCACGGTGATCATTTCTGGTATCCTATATTATTGTTAAAGCTAATCGGTCAATCAATTTTAGACCGATAATTCATGTAAAATGTTGAAATAAAAAATAAGATTTATGCTCGTTGTAATTGCAATTCCGATTCCGAAAATTTCAATATAAACCCAAATCTTCATGATATCCAATAACTTAAGCCTTTCGGAAAAAATACCATATAAGCCGATAGATTCGGATAAGTAAAATATATATTCTACCTAATATGAGGGTAAAAGATTATGGAAGATAATATTATATTATATAATACTTATTCGAATGTGATATATATGATAATTAGTAGTATGATTAATTACAATAGCTGATTTACGTAAAGAACCGTGAAAATATAAGCTGCAGTGAAAAACTGTTAAGGTATTAAAAAAACATTTACCAATTCATGTATCATTAACAGACATAAGGATTAAAAGATTTTCAAAAGAACTCCCTAATACAATAATTATAAACATCGCTATAAATATGAGTAAAAGTAAAATGTTAGCATAAATTGATCGAAACCCTTTTACGATATTAATGATTAAACATACAGAAAATGTAGTTTTTAATTTATAATTTACAGTACATTTTACTATATAATTTATTATACATACCAGTTCGAAATGTTTTAAAAAAATTATAGTTTAAAATTAATTTTTTTCAAATTTAGTATTTATATATTATTAACTTATCAAGTAAAACCATGTAAAACCATGAAGGTATTACACTAATTTTTTTTCATTCACAATAGTAAAAAACTGATATTTTGTAATTCATATATAAATATATATAAATGCTTAGCCTGTAGTATTATTATATTTATAATGTATGATCGGTTTTCGAATTAAAAATGTATCATTTGGTTTATTCAAAGGTCAATGAAGTCGTAATTGTATGGACTAAGTATAAGTATTTATAATATATATATATTTATTTATATAGCTATTTATTTATTCATTAATTTATGAGTATTAACAATTTACAAATTTTTAATTTCATTTTTTTTTATATTATTTTATGATATATAATACATCAATAGTAATTTTTTTCTTTTTTTAATCGATTGATATTATTAAGTTTATAATATGATTTAGTAGCTCCTACAGAATGTTATGTTAATTATAGATATACCGAATAATTTTTATTAAAAATATTTTATGAATTAATAGTGTTGTTAAATTTTAATACTGAATATTATTCAATACTATTGGACACCGTGTTTAGGTACTATTATTTAATGTAATTTAATTAATATTTCTATAATATATTACATATTTATATAGTTTAATTCAGATAATTAATTTTGTTTCAAAGAGCTTAAGGTGCAAGCTTATAATTTTATACTCAACTTTTTTTTCCATCGCAAACTATCTCATATTTATCGGTGAACAATTTATTTTACAAAATATAAAAAGGTAAATACATTATAAATAAATGATCAAAGACATTTTAATCGCCCAATATATTCATAAATGATTCATTTTATTGTTTATTTAATTATATTAAATAATTTGTTAAATTATAAGCTTATTATAAAAAATATTGATTTTATTTTAATTTATATTAGCTTCTCATTTTTTATATATTATTTTTTTATACAGTAGTATCAACAAAACGACATTTTATCTTTATATTAAAATAAATAATTAATTTGCAGTAAGTTCCTTTAATATAAAATGTTCGTTTTAATGTCTCTTAATTTTAATTTTTTATTGATATATAATAGTTATTACAGAATTATTAAATTCATAAGCTAATAGTAAGAAACAAGGTGTACTAGTATTTTCTTTATATATCACTGAACTATAAATCTTGTAAAATAACATTTACTCTAAGGTGTATATGCAATTAGTTTTCTTCATTAAAATAATTTCCTTAATGAGAGTATTGCTTTTACTTTCAGACATAATAAAAATAAATCACTTGGCGGATCAAGCAGAAATACCCTGAACACTGATGATTTATCACAACACACGGGTTAATCCGACAACAGATTTTGTATAGTAAGTAGCGGAATACCATAGTATTATCAAGACTTTCCTTACATAAAGATATCTGTCATGGTTGTTTTTTTTTGTCAACGACTATTTGTATGATGTAAATAAAATTTCTGCGATGGAAGGAAAAATAATCTAGTGTTAATAACAAACAATAACAATAATATGGTTTTAGATAAATCATAAATTAAACAAGAATATTCATGTATGAACACAGTCAGGATAAAACAGCAATTTTACTGCATATTTATGCGTTCTCTTTTCGAACATTCATCCATATGCATTTGTATAAATGTAAGAATATTATATGAATACTATTCGTGAAAACGAAATGTATTAAATATATCGGAGATGTAATAATTAATACTATTGCCGTTTAATATAAAACGCTTTATTTTAATCTTAAAGTATACTCAATTGTTTTTTGTGTTACCAATTAAATAATTATAAGCATTTGATATTTGTTTTGCGTTAGATTTATAAGAACTTACTAAACCTGTAAACTATACGGAAACAATGATATTTTTCAGGAAAAAACATGATATTAAAATGAACATAGTGGTTTTGAAAAATGGGTATTTATTTCGCATCCTATCATATATATATGGCGAAAGTTTTTTTCATTTAAAAATTGTCACGCGAGCCTTAAAAATAAATTAAAAACGAATATTATATGCGCGTTCGCTAGTGTTTTGAGAGTATTTTTTACCAGACGATCTTGAATTTATTAAACGGGCTTACGTAACTATTTCTGCGAGTATTGTTGACACGACCATGGTAGTAATAACGCGGAGGCGGGAAAAAAGAGAAGAAAAGAAACGTAATCGTAATAAACAATATGAAAATACGACGTCCACAATACCTATCATATATTCTTGCGATTTTTGAAAGCTCTCGTCCGTGGAACATTATCGACTTAGAGATAATGCACTTGCTGTCCTACTCTTCGTCTCGTCCCTATCTTTCTCTCTGTTTTTCCGTTGTTTCTGTAGTGCTGACAAATTCGATCAACCCGGTAGGGTAATATTATCCGCTTCGCACGTCACATTCCGTCCACCGGAAGACCGTGTCTGGGGTAATCACGAATACGGAACCACAGTTTTAAAAATGCGTTTTGACCAGCGCTCGACTTGGCAAAATTAAAGAAGAGGGACTCCGTTTACTTTAAAGCAAATAGGTAAAATTTTTGAAAATTAATTGGTGTACTCCGTCCCCCTGGGTCCCCTCTAGCACTGAATATGGCGCGATGGCTCACGAGTTGTTTTCGTCTGTTGGTCGATCCGTACGCTGGCAGAGTAGTGGTACCCGATGCACACGTGTACGGGGGGCCAGGAGACGTGCACGCGGTCATCCGAGAACGAGAGAAGATTGCCGTCCGGTTGCGGATGCGCAACGTGATCGCGACTACGGGACAGATTTCGTCCGGCCGCGTCGCGGATTACACGCGCGACATCACACGGATGGGCCGAACCGAACACACGTAGATGCGCCGTGAAAACGTTGCGCCTCGTCCTTTTCCCGTTCACCACCGACCCCACCGCCGTCGCCGCCGCCGCGTTTAACAGAGTTCGCTGATAGCGCGCGCCAACCCCCTAGGGCACGCACCGCGAGAACGGCACCGTCGGCGCGTTCCCGACACGAACATCCGTCGCAGTCGCAGTCCTCGTCGTCGTCGTCGTCGTCGTCGTAGTCGTCACTTCCGTTTCCGGTCACGTCTCGCGCGAGTGTTTGCGAAGTGCTGAGCGCTCGTCCCGACGACGTTCGTGCGAACCGGAAGCGTTGTATACAACTGCGGCGAGCTCCAACGGTTGACCGATGTTTTTTTATTCGGACGTGACAATAGAAAAGTTTTGATAAATTAATAAAAAATAAATACGGTTCTTTACGTGCACGGATCGAAAACCAACTCGTAAATTGTACGTGAACCGTATCCGCTGCATTACTATTGTACCTGCACATGCCACTGTTTGCCCACCCGCGTCGTCGCCTCCGTCAACGTTGACGGCAGTCCGTGATCACCAACGCCGCCGCCGTATCAAAGTGAGTGTCTGTATATATATTTATTTATTTTCCTTTCTTTATATTTGTCCTTCCTAAACGTCGTTTATGCGTGTATGCGCGCGCGCACGCGTGAATTGACCGACTTTTCTGTCAGACGGACTTGTTGATTGAAAAAACATTCCCGTCGTACTTAATTCTATTACCGTGTGATCGTCGTCATAATACATAATGCGAGAATTTTTTTTTTCCTTCAAAACTTCAAACTTGTTGCCCCGCGCATTTTTTAAGCGTTTGATGGTTTTCCAGAAGAAATGTTTAACGGACTTTAAATGCGCGCATCAATTACTCCAACCAATGTTTTCTCAGGTACGTCACAACCGAACGTGTACGTCGCTTATACCCATTATTATTTATAACGAGAAATTGATATACCGACCCTGGAATTTCCGAATGAAGAGGATCGCCGCGAGTAACGACTCATTAAAATTAATTGGTGGGATTCATTAAACAATGTTTTTTTTTAAACGTAGTTCGTTTTAAAACAATAATTCCGTAGCCGTATGTTTCATCCAATATAGCAAAACTTAATTACTATATTAAATTATTTTAATATATATTTATAGTTTTAATTTTATTCGTGCAGTAATGAACACAAAATTAATACCTAAATAATAGTAATCCATCAATAAAATAATAAATATAATTAAATGACAACCTACCCGGATTAAAACAAGTTGTGGAGGGAAAGGAGGTCAAACTCTTAAAAATGAAATACATTTTGAATACAAATTTAAAAAAAACTATAATGGATTAAAAGCTATGACATAAATCTTATCGAATTTGCTATATAATTTTAAAAACTAGAAATGAATGATTTTTTGTTTCATGATTTAAATACGAAAGTTAAAAATAAAAAATATCTTAAATGATTTCCAAGTTGATTTTAAAATAAAAGGTTTTATTACTAATTCTTAATAATGGCTTTGTTTTTTTTAAATACTTAAATTTAAAAAATTGTTAAATTATTATTTTCATTAGTATAATTATCAAATAAAATAATTTTATTTCTTAATGAGCTTAAAAAATAAAATCAAAAACAAAGGCCATTAGTTATAATCAAGATATGAGTTTATGTGATTAAATACAAAGATATGCTATATTATTAAGTAATATTATTTTTTTTTCTATTTTTTTTTTTTTATGAGATTGAATAATTTTGCTTGTTTTGTAAAATTAATAATATCTTGGTTTTTTTTCATAATCGGGTCCAAGTGCGGTGTCTAGATTGTATGCTATTTTATGATCAACACGTTCTTGGTTATACTCGCACTTTAAACAATCGGCTATTAAGTGTTTGATAGTTAATACAGTTCCATTGGTTTGATAAATAGGATGCTCCTCTCTAGCCATTAGGAAACCGTGGATGAATCTGGTGTGCCCAATGTGAAGTCTGTTCAGCACAGTCAAGGTGTTAAAGTTTGTTTTTTATTAAACTTGCAAACATAGTATTTCTGGGCAGTGTTCTGAAATTAATAATTTCAGTTCATCTAATTTTCTGTAAAATCCATTAATATTCCACTGAAGAATTGTTGTAATTTTTGCTTTAATTTTTTTTTGTGTAATTGTGTAAATGATTGTGTTTTATTGAGGAGTGTAAGAGATGTAAAAAAGAGAGTATTAAAGGCTTTTATACATTTTTATTTTTATATTTGGGTAGGCTCAATGCAGAGTGCTTTATGTTTATATTTATATTTGTTAATATATTTTTTGTGCCTGGAGTATTAATTATAGGCTCGATAATTTCAAAACATGTAATGTTGAAATCTTCTAGAACTGAAGCTGAGTTGGATACACCAAGAGAGTTTTCAATTATGAACTTGAACTGCTCATCATTTATTTTTTTGTTGGGTATTTCTTCAAATCTGGATTTAGTGGGCTCAAATATTTCATCAATCTTTAGGATTATATTTTCGATAGATTTATTTCGTTTTCATTTTTTTTTTTTTTTTTTTTTGGTGGTTGCGATGTTTTGCTTGGATTTGATTTAGAAGGAGTTTTTTTTGAAATAATATCTTGAAAAGGGGACTTAGGAGAAAACTAATAGAAAGTTTGACTTGATGAAGTTGAGATGAGAATTGGTCTTTTTTTTATATCAGTTGCATTAAGAGTCAATAATGCATTGTCTATTTCCATCCGAAGTGGAGAATTAAGGAGGGATGGCTGAATTGAGGTTTATGAAATGTTATTGTGTTGGTGTTAACATTTGTGTCTGCAAGAGTATTACCTATAGGTCCGTTGAGTTCTATTTTATCTTCGGCGTCAGAGTTACTTAACATTTTTTTTTATATCTATAGATTTATATTTGTATTTGGGGCTTCTGTTAGTGAATTTTTGAATTTTTTTGAGGTGTGACCTTTGAGTTTGTACAAGTAACAAGAGAGCATATCATCGGACAAAAAAAAAATTCTGTGAGGAGTATTTTCATGGTTAGTTAGGAGAGAATTACGAAGTTTTTAGAAATCATTGAGATTAATGAAGAATTGGTGTCTAAAACTGAGGATAAGTACATATTTTGGTATGTTAAATCCCGCATTGATATGTGTGATCCGTGATAACATTTGGATGTTGTAATTTTTAAGTGTAATATAATGTTTGGTATAATGATTCGTTTAACCGGGCTTATTAATCTTCTAATTTTAATCATTGTCTGGGTGTTTATTATGGTACTGGGATGGTTATCCATCAGAAAATCAACTTTTTTTTTATCATTGAGGTATATACAGATCCGGTTAACCATGGTTGTTAGTTATTCGATAAACAAATTTTATGTTTTTTGATGCAGTTTATTTGCTGGTTGCATTGATGTTTTCAATCTAAGGTATATTGTCGATCAAATCGAAGACTATTGCGTATTCTTTTTTGGGTTGGGTAGAGTTGAGAGTGGTCTCAGAAAATATTTTTTTCCCGGAGGTGTATTTTTCCGATTTAATATTTATGTTTTGTTGCGTTGAAAAATTAATACTAGACTCGTTCTATATACGGTTGGTATTGTTTATGGTATCGTGATATGATATTTTTGTATCGATGGTTTTAATTACATCGTTGCTATCGGAGTGATGAGATGTTGAGCTTCTCTCATTATTTGCGTTATCTGCAATGATACCGAGGAGTTCGAAATTGAATTAATATCGATTTTGAGACATTTTATGTATTGATGTAATTTTAAATGAGGAAATAAGTCTTTTTCTAAGATTTGTATACTTGATATGTAGATCACCCATTTTTTATGGGTGATTTTCTTAATGATAAAAGTTTAAATGTGCATAGGGATCTACCATAAGATAATAATAATAATAATTATTCATATTACTTATTGACACGTAGGACTTCTATATGCTTACGAGAGCGCGATAAACATGCTGCTCGGTCAAATGTACACACATAACTAAATTTAATTCTTAAATCTAATTAAAAAAAAAGACATTTTTCTACAATAATATAAAGAATCATCCAAATAAAAAAATCATTAAATTGTTATTCTCTTTATTATTCAGAGAAAGAAAATCAAATAAATATTTTAAAACATGATTCCACAAAGTAATAGAAATAGAAGACATCAAATTCTCACAAGAAAACCTTTAAAACCAAACGGTAATGACGTATTTTTGTAATTGAAGAATTTAGCTAGATAAATGTCAGATAAAGAATAAAAATTATTTTGTGGTATTATTTATATTACTTATATATTATAAATCGTTTTAGGATAAATAAATCCCAAATATAACTCTGTTAATAGATGATTTATATAAAATTAATATTTTTGTAAAATGTTAATTGAAAGTTTGTTCATTGGCATTGAAATAAAATTTATTATTTATATTTATATTTATATTATTTAATAATATTATGAGATTTTTGAGTGTAAATATTTATTTTCGATAAAGAAAATCGCATTCGATTTTGTGTATCATAAATGTAATGCAAATTTACTCTTTATTAATAAAATTAATATTCGATCAAGCAAATTTTAATTATTCACATTTTTATTAAATTCCATATGAATAACTGTGTTTTTAGATTGAGAATGGAGTAAAAAATAAATAATTTCCTACACAAAATTTAAGACTCATCCAAATAAAATCATCAAAATGAATTTTTTAGCTATAGTAAATCATACTATAATTATTATTTCAATTTCATTTTTATCGCATTGTAAATGCAGTTTCACAATACTGTAATAAAACTAAATATTATAATAATTTGAAGTTATTCAAAATTATATTACTTGAGTTAACAATTTAATAAATAATTCCTGGTACAGGTATGGGTCATTTTATGTTATTTATTTATGATAAAAAAATTTAGAAGAACTAAATTTTAATTATTTTTTTATTAGAAAACTTAAAATCTGAATAAAAAAAAAAAAAAAAAAAAAACACAATAAGTAAATATAAAGACTTTGTACAAAAATAAAAATAAAACAATTAACAGTGACTTAATGGAGGCTATCCATTCATAAAACTTTTCAGAAAAAACTATATTAAATAATTTTTATCATGAATATGAGTGTACATGACGTGTGATAAATTTTATAAAATATTATATTTTTAATACAAATAACTTTACTACATTTTACTTTAGGAAAAATAGATGAAAATTACATTATTAATAATAAAAATTAACAATAGTATACAATGATGATTGATACAATTAAACAGGAAATTAAAACCAATTATATATTATCCAGCTAACTAGTAATGGATTTCAACTATACCTAAATGATAATAATAATTTTTAATTATAAGTGGACTTAAAAAATATATTTTTATATTTCTTGCGTTGGATAATTAAATTTTGTAGCTTCTCAGGTGCGACTATTATGTACAAAGACACTATATATTTTTATCTCTGCTTTTGTCTTTATAAAAAATATGATACAATTTAAATTAAAGAATTTAATAGAAAAAAAAAATAAAAACAAAAAAAAAATGAGTGGGTAGCTTAATTTACTTCGAAAAAACATATAAGAAATAATAATA